CAATCCTCAGATCTCAGCCTCCTGAGTAGCTAGGATTATAGGCATAAGCCACCAGTGCCCGGCTGCAGACAATCTTTGAAGGGTCCCTAGCATCCAATTGTTAAGAGAACTCTGAATAGCAAACATGAGTGTTTATTTGTGGAAAATTCATATGCAAATACAAAAAGGTCTAGAAGGTCAAAGCAAATCTTTATATTTTTCCAAGATTTACTACAAGATACCAAAACTTACTTTATGCTGCAATAACAGGAAATCATGGCACTGGTACAACAATAAAGAAGTCAGGTATGATGGTGCACAGCTATAATCCCAGCACTCTGGAAGCTGAGGAAGGAGGATTTGAGGTCAGGCCTAGACTATGCTACACAGTGAGACCCTGTGGCAAGATACCAGCAAAATATACAAAGCAAAACTTAACAAAACAAGAGACTGGGCTGGGAAGGTGGTTCAGTGGTAGAGAGCTTGCCTTGCATGCATGAGGCCTTGTGTTGGATTCCTCAGCACCACATAAGCAGAAAAAAAAAAAGCAGGAAGTGGCACTGTGGCTCAAGTGGTAGAGTTCTAGTCTTGATCTGAAGAGCTGAGGGACAGTGCCCAGGCCCAGAGTTCAGGTCCCACAACCAGACCAAATAAATAAATAAAGAGACCAAGGGAGAAAGATCATCACATCTGGCATGTTTGTGTGAACCTATAGTGCAGCTATAGTGTTAAGACATGCAGAAAAAGGAAACTCATACAAGAAACCCTCTCCATGAATAAAAATTAACTAAAAAATGGAGCACAGACCTAGAAGTAAAGCTAACACTGTATATTTTCTAGAAAAGCACAGAAGATCCTAATAACCTTAGTTTTGGTAGAGTTCTTAAATATGACACAACAGCATCAAGTATGAAAGAAAAAAAATGACAAATTAGATGGCATCAATTTTTTTTAAGTCTACAAACTTTGCTGGGTGCTGGTGGCTCATGCCTGTAATCCTAGCTACTCAGGAGGCTGAGATCTGAGGATCGTAGTTCAAAGCCAACCTGGGCAGGAAAGTCTGTGAAACTCTTATCTCCAATAAACCACCAGAAAACCCCAAGTGGCACTGTAGCTCAAGTGGTAGAGCACTAGCCTTGAGCTGAAAAGCTGAGGGACAGTGCTTAGGCCCAGAGTTCAAGCCGCAAAAATGACCAAAAAAAAAAAAAAAAAGATTACAAACTTTTACTCTAAAAGGCAAGTCACAGCCTGAGAGGAAGTATTTGCAAAATACATCTGTCAAAACACTGAAAACCTTCAATGCAATTTAATGATCAATTTTTTAAATGGGCAAAAGACTTGAAACAACCACTTTCTCTAGGTGGATAACAAACACAATAAAAAAATGTTCATCATAGCTGTTTGAGAAATGCAAATTAAAGCCAGATTTAGGCATGCAAGGCAGTAGCTCAAAAAGATTCTATCATACCAAGTATTGGCTAGGATGCAGAGGAACAGAAACTTTCACTGTTGTAGAGGATGCAGTACAACCAGTTTGGAGAAAGGTTGGGCAGTTTCATAAAAAGATAAACATATTCCTGCCCTATGACCCAGACATTCCACTCCCAGGAATTAATTCAAGAGAAATGAAAGCATACATCCAAGCTAGGCATGGTGGTGTACACCTGTAATTCCAGTGAAGCTAAGGCTAAAGGATCTCACATTTAAGGCCAGTCTGGGCTACATAGGAAAATAAGAGACCCAACTCAAAAGAAAACAAAACAAAAACAAAAAAGGCACACATCTATTCAAAGACTTGTACAGACTTGTCCTTAGCTGCTTAGTTGTTGATCTGTAGTTTATCCCAGGGCCTCAGGCATGCAAGGCAAGCGCACTACCACTGAGCCACCTTCCCAGCACTGATTTGTAGTTTATCTTGAACTGGAAACCCAAATTCTCATCAGCAGGTGAACTGAAAACTGTGTGTAAATGCGCAACATTTCAAATTATGCTGCAAGAAACCAAAGTCACTTGGCCAAACAGTACATAGTGAATAATTCAACTTGCATAAAATTGCTGAAAATACAACTGATTGCAAATATAGGAACTTTTGAGATAATGGATATCTTCATTCTGATATTGGTAGTGGAGGTTATGTCACATAACAAATCAAAGCCTAGGGGCTGGGGCTTTAGCCCAGCGGAAGGCCCTGGTTCCAGTCCTCAGCCCTGGGGAAAAAAAAAAAATCAAAGCCTATCAATGCATACATTATGAATGTATGTGGTTTACTGTATCAATTATATCTCAATAACACTTATAGTCCCAGCTACTCAGTTGGCTGACAGGCCACCCCCTTCAGCCCAGGAGTTCAAGGCCAAACGCAGGGAGTATACACTGAAGACAAAAGAAAAATTATTAATGAAAAAAATTCCCAGAAGGTGGCGCTGTCACCTCCCATGTGGTCTCTTGGGCCTTGGGAGCTAGCGCCCCTGGAACTGGGTCAGGCCTTGCAGAAGGGTAGATTAACTAGAAAGCCCTGGGAAGAGGCCCCTGAGGTCAGAAATGACAAGGAGAGGTGATGGCAGTTAGGACTGACTTCACTTCCTTCCACCATCCCCAAACATGACGCTTGTCCTTCCATGTACAACTGCTTTCTGCTTCTAGACGCCAGATCTTCCACAGGCTGGAGTCTCATTTAATGAACATGAAGTGCCTTTTTTGACTACCTTGGCTAAATTAATTCCTACCCCTCACTCTGTCCCGAAGTCACTTGGTGCATTTTTTTCTGCTTATTTTCTTCACTGCATGTACCACAATTAGAAGCCATTTGGTAACTTTCTTGTTTTTTTTGCTGGTCATACGGCTTGAACTCTGGGCTTGGGCGCTGTCCCTCAGCTTTTCAGCTCAAGGCTAGCACTCTACCACTTGAGCCACAGCACCACTGCCAGTTTTTTCTGCTTATGTGGTGCTGAGGAATTGAACCCAGGGCCTCATGCATGCAAGACAAGCACTCTACCACTGAGCCACCTTCCTAGCCCTTTCTTGTATTTTTTTTTTGGGGGGTCCAGTCGTGGGGTCTGAACTCTGGGCCTGGGTGCTGTCCCTCAGCTCTTCAGCTCAAGGCTAGCACTCTACCACTTGAGCCACAGGGCCACTTCCAGCTTTTTTTAAAAAAAAATTTTCTGCTTATGTGGTGCTGAGGAATCGAACCCAGGGCCTCATGCATGCAAGGCAAATGCTCTACCACTGAGCCACCTTCCCAGCCCCCCTTTCTTGTATTTTATTTATTTTGGTCAGTTGTGGGGCTTGAACTCTGGGCCTAAGCACTGTCCCTCAGCTCTATAGCTCAAGGCTAGCTATCTACCACTTGAGCTATAGTGCCACTTCCAGTTTTCTGGTGGTTTATTGGAGATAAGCCCGGGCTGGCTTTGAACCGTGATCCTCAGATCTCAGCCTCCTGAGTAGCTAGGATTACAGGTATGAGCCACCTGTGCTTAGCTCTAGGAGACTCTTTTTTTTTTTTTTTGGTCCAGTCGTGGGGCCTGAACTCTGAGCCCGGGCGCTGTCCCTCAGCTCTTCAGCTCAAGGCTAGCGCTCTACCACTTGAGCCACAGCGCCACTTCCAGCTTTTTTCTTTTTGCTT